GGCGTTGCGGAGGTGTTTTAGGCTGGGATACGAAGGGGCACACACCTGCACCACTTTATCAGGTGCACGAGAAAGAGGCGGCATCATCGGAACTGCAACAATGGAACAGCAGCAAACTATTTACTGCTGCGAGCGGGGCGGGGCGGGGCAGGGCAAGGGGAGCCACGCCACAGGACAGGGCCGCGAGCGCAGAGCGGCGCCGCCCCGCGAGTAACAAGGTTGCTTCCAAGTTGAAAATTTAAATATAATGCAGGTTTCACACGGCGGTGCGCTGCGACGATGACAACAAGAAAAGGTGCGTCCCACTGCACAGCGCCACACTACTGGCCTCCCCTTCGACCCTTTCCGCCGCCCGTCCGGGAACCCTCCCCGCCGCGTGAACCGTGAAGTGCCACAGAAACGGAGAATCGGGGTCCTTGACGCTTTGCGTCACTTTCGGGCTCAGATTGAGACACTAAAGATACCTTCCAAAGAAGCATTTACCGAGCGTCAATACTTTTAAGGGGCCGTTCACAAATTACGTCACGCAAATTTCGGGCGGTTTTGACTCCCCCCTCCCCCACGTCACGCGGCTAACCTAACCTTCTAATGCTTTCAGGATAGGACCGTCACGCGGGCAGAGACCCCCTCCCCCCGTCAGATGCGTGACGTAATTTGTGAACGGCCCCTACTTGACCTTCAAATCATTTCTACAACCCCCGACTTCCCCGCAAGGGAAAACCACCCCGACCGCACTCGAGGACTTTAAAGCCACCGCTCTTCCCCCGGGTGCGCCGGGTGCGCCGAGTGCACCTTGTGCGACCAGCGCCGTCCCCGCCCGTATCCGGCACGCACCTGGGCTGGGTCCCAAGGTACCAAAGGGGGAAGGTCAGAGCAGCAGTCAGGGCGCACAAGGTGACGTGTGAGAACGGAAGAGTTGAGCGCTGAGCGGGGTCAAATGAAAGCGTCCTTGGCGGCATACTGACGTCCCTGTTTTAGCTACAGTACACAGCTGTAACTAAACTACAACCGATACGGCCACATTTTTTTTTACATCCAAAAAAAAAAGAGGAAAAAGTTGATTGGTTTGGTGCTTTTTTTCGTCTAATTTTCTTTCATGAAGTCAATATTTGATCCCGCAAGGTACATCATCGGCATCGGAAGTATGTAGACCAAAGCGTTTTGAAGTACGGACACCGGATACGGACATTGTGTCTAACTAACATTTTGCTTCATTCCTGCCTGGGGTCGGATCTATCCGCCCGACCAGCAAACGCGACACCATTCTTATTCGCAGTCGAAAGCACAGACGACGTATTCAACTACAATGGCCACCACAGACCAGTCCAGCGAATCACAGCTCGAAGATTTTAGTGGATTATCCATCAATGAAGGCACACCCGGCTCAGAGTTCGAAGGAAAAGATATGAATGAGATTAATGATGTTCATGAGAAGTGGGGTTTGCGGCTGAGTGATGTGTATCGACTGGCAGTGCAGTTTTACAGAGGTGGGTGGAACCGCTGTCTACTGCTTGTGCCTAACCTGTTTGTGAAACGTCATACCGCATAGGAAGTGTCATGTTGTCTTTTCTTGTTACCTTTAAACTGATGTTGCTCCTAAAAAACTAGAAATGAAACCCCTTGCTATCATACATTGTTCTTTGACGTCTCCCGTCACGATTCGTTCTAACAATTTACAAGAAAAATAAAGGCCTATTGTGGCTGGGGTTTGGTTTACTTGTCATTTGACAAAGATGGTACTAGTTAGATTTCGTTATCACTTTCAACTACGAACCTTTTCCTGTATGGTTTCCATACGCAGTTCTTATTGGTCAATCTTTTCAATGTTTATTTGTTGTAACTTTTGTAACTATTTCTGTTTTTTTCTTCTTTTTTTTTTTGTTTCAGAGAAAGAAGGCAAAGCTGTTCACTTTTCATACCAAGATAAATTAAAGCTTGTTGCTTACACTCAACAAGTTGTGCGAGGAAAATTCAATGAAGAGAAACTGCCACCTTTGGGGGTCTTGGATGTCCCTGGCAGGGACAGAAGGTACGTTCCATGACGATGACATGTAAGTGATATCTGTATGTGTCAAATAACTAAATTTTGAACCATATCTGCTTTCAGACTTGCATGGCAAGCGCTTGGTGATATGGGCCAAGAAGAGGCAATGAAGAGCTTTGTTGACCTTTTGGACTCATTGTGCCATCTTTTTAAACCTTTCATAGAGGCTCACAAACGAGATGGTGAAGAACGTGAAAGGCTAGCGTTAGTGCAATTGACATTGTTAATATGTTTTAATTCCTTTTGCCTTTTCTATTGCCTAATGAAATTTTTTAATTTTATGTTTAGCCAAGAACAAGAGGAAAGGGAAAAGAAATTAGAGGAAGAGCAACGACTCCAGGCAGAACAAGAACGTTTGAAGGAAGAGGAGGCTCTTCAACAAGAAGCTCAAAGGTACAATGTCACTTAATTGTTTTTGAGAAATGTTTTTGACAAGTTTGCCACTTTTACGCAGAAGTATTTGAGTATTTAATCCATCTAACTAAATTACTTAATACTAGGAGGAAAATCCAAGAGGCATTAAATCAGCAAACATTTGCTCAGTTTAAATCATATGCTGAACAGCAGTTTCCAGGAAACCCAGAACAGGTCCGTAAAATGATATTGCTCATGGAAAATAATTTAAAATCTAGAATTCTTAAAATTGAATATTATTCTTTTTCATTTACCAATCTACTGGTGTTTGCAGCAAGGAGTTCTTATTCGTCAACTCCAGGAACAACATTATCATCAATACATGCAGCAACTTCTGCACCAGCAGTCAAGTGGAACTGGGGCAAATGACAAGGAAGATGAATGTCCTGTGCCCAATCTTGCCCATGAGAATCTTACCTACTATACTAATGGTAGTAAAGCATTGACAATGGCCACAAGCACTGGAACCATAATTTCGAATGGAAATATTGAGGAAGGAGTTTCGGAGGGTGATGATGAAAATTTACTAGGTTTGTTTATATTTTTTCCATACTTGTAAAGCTGACTGGATTCTAAAATTTCTGACATTACCTTCAAGTCCTGGAAAGGGGACAACCTCATGACACTTTTCTTTATATTACAGACTTCCCTGAAATTTCACCAGCTTCTATGTGGACCCACAAAGAACTTAAAGATTTCAAGGAATCAATAAGAAAAGAAGCAAGTGAAGCAGTTATTAAAGTTGGTCATGGGGAAACAGTCACTGTAAGTACCCTTATTGCATTTTAACTCTGACTCTTAACTTAAACAATAGAAATACCACATCTTTACCAGTAACACAGGAAAATAGTAGACTAATATTTTTTTCTCATATACTGTAAATGCACAAATCTTGTTCAAATCATAAAATTAATCTAACTGTAAATTTTTTCTGGATATCAGCTCAGAGTACCAACCCATGAAAAAGGCAGCAGCCTGTATTGGGAGTTTGCCACCGATAATTATGATATTGGCTTTGGTGTTTATTTTGAATGGACCAAACCAACAACAAGTGCTGTCACACTTCATGTCTCTGAAAGTGAAGATGAAGATGAGGATGATGACGATGATGATGAAGAGATAGGTATGTTGAATGAATACATACCCAATATTTCGCTATCAATAACTAAATGTTGGATCAAGGTAAAATAAATTCTAACTGTTCTTTTACAGTATATCCGGAAGGCTCAGATATTGAAGCTGGCGCAGAAAAAGCTCAGAAGTCAAGTGCTCTTAACCGACCTCTTGTGTCAGTTATTGTGCCTGTTTACAGGAGAGATTGTCAAGAAGAGGTGTATGCTGGTCTTCATCAGTATCCTGGAGAAGGTGTTTATTTATTAAAATTTGATAACTCTTACAGCCTTTGGCGATCCAAAACATTATATTATAGGGTATACTACCATCCTTGAACAAGGTTAAGAAAAATCAGTATTTATCTGTATTTGTATTAGCACAGGGAAGTGATGTTTCCCTCAAGTATCTCAAGTTGTTCCTTTCTTTTGTAAAATAGACACTGTGTTCAGTGGGTCAAGTTATAAGATTATATTTTCCTGTTGTGTTAAATGTGCTTGGACTAGAAGAAATATTTGACAAAAGGTACAAGTACAATACATCTATGAGAATGAGATCATATGTCTATTCTATTCCAAATTAATTTTTCAATGAGGGTGCTTTTAACATAAAAAATTTGAACAAAATGGCTTTATTGTCATTATAATTATGGTTCATTCCCAAAGTCTATCGTGGTTATGCTGGAAATTTCAAAGGGCTCTCAAACTGTCTGACATATTTTAGAATGTTATGTCATTGGAATGATGTTTATGGAATGTTAGCTTTCATGGTTGGCATTTGTTTTGGCTGTGCATCAGGATTTTCAGTTAATTTAAATTTATTGATTTTATTGGATGACATCAATATCTGTTGGCAGGAGCTATTTGCACTGTGTTTGTGAAAATTGCATTTACATAAACAACATTTGTTTTCTAAATTGAATAAGGTTTAGATCAGGAAAAAGCTCATGAGTTTATGAGAAATTTGATGTTCAGTACGAAAGTTTCTCTCACCAAAATAGTAGGTAGCCCATGACTTTCATTTTGTCTCTCAAGTAAAATTTGAGTATGAGTATTTGTTCATTGTACACCGAGTGAAAATATCTGTCTATTGACAAGCATTTCTTTGCACGTGTGTGCACAGTCATTTTTGTGTTGAAATCATTTTTATCTGCATATACATGTTTCTTTTTATGATGACCCAAATGCACCAGTGGAAAGAAAAATGACCATTTTATTGTGACTGTTTCAAAAGTAATTTATAATTAAGTCCTGAGTGAAAGTTTTGTGTATCCTACAGCAGTTAGCTGTATTTTCTATCTATCTACCTACCGTACAACGCATATTGAACTACTATTAACATAATGTTATTCTACAGTAGAAGTGTCTTCTTCTGTCATGTGCCTGTGCCAATATGCTATTAAGAAATCAAAAGCAAGGCCTCAGTGTTATTATTATTCTATGAAAATATACAAAACTTTTTAGAATTGGACTTGAACTGATTAAGAATAGGAGGTATACAGATACAACGCACATACTTACTGGTTCAGTAAAGAGCAGTAAACAGGTATCTGATGGCCAAAATACAATGTAAACTTCATTTTTGTGCAGTGATGTGGGTAGCAACAACCAAGTGTTAGTACATTTGAGAAAATCATTGAGCAAAAATCTGCTGTTATTATTTTGTTGTGCGTTTATGATATATTTTATTACTATTAAAGTTGTTTTTCACATACAGTAAAATTTTCTAGAGTCTTTTGTGAGTTAGTTTTTAGGGCTATAAGCTGTCTCCTTTAATTTAATACAGATTGAGTCCATGACCTGACCATGATTGTGTTTTTTGGACTCATACTCAAGGTGCTGATGAACTTTTCAGAAGTGCTCCCTGAAGTAAATTTCTTTACTTAAATTCATGGTCTTAGGCAGTCAGCTGGTTCAGATATATCACATCACGTATGTTGCCAATAAATTACATTCATGGTTGGTCACGTTTGGTTTGGGACATTGACATTAGCCCTTCCAACTCCTCTGGTATCAAATTTCTTTCAGCTTTTGAAAATAGTGTTCATCTATTAGCTACTCCTTGACAATAATTTTAAAGAAGTGGCATGTTTTATGAATTTTGTAAAACATTTCTGAAACGTTCAAAGGACTGGTTTGAATTTGCCTGCTGCAGGCTCCCTTTGTTCTAGTCTCTAATATACTGTACACAATCATTGTGCGGTGCTTGTTTTTGTTTGCGTCTACATTTTTGTCTGTTGTGTTCCATTCTGCAATTGGTATGTTTCACATCTGTGCTTTGTACCTTGCATGAGTTAGCTATGATCAATGTGCAATTGATGTATCTTCATTAACGAAAAATAATAAATAATATATAGTTACCAAAAAGTTAAAATACCTGATATTTTGCTATCCTCATCACAAAATTCAGCAAGTTATACTGCGACCAGCCTTGACGTAATACGTCACGCTTTAAAGCGCATACCGCATTTAATGCACATTTTCGGCGGATGTGTCCCTACTTTGCGCTGCTGAAAAGCGTGACTTCAGTCTGGTCTGAGACACTTTTGCATTCGTGGGCGGGCGGAAAGGGGGCGGATAGATGGAGATTCGCTATTGTCAGCAGCACAGCACTAGCTTAAGCTTATTTACAGATATTTGTCATCTGACTTTTTACTTTTTCATAGCGGTTGGTTGTGGGATGGTCGCCAAAGAAAAGTGAGTAGTAGAAAGTTTAAACCTGTGTTTTTGTGTGTCTCTCTCGTTGTTTAATGGAATAATTCGGTTTCTTCACTGTCTATCGCCTCTGTCGCAATGTCTTCTATTCGATTTATTTAATTTTTCATTGAAAATACACAAATAATTTTCTCAGAACACCTGTCATTCAGTCAGTTTGGCCTGTGGAATCATGGCATTCATCCAATGTCAAAAACTAGATAACTAGATAAAACTAGATAACATCTTGAACATGTTTTTCTATCGGTCCATTTCATTTTATTTTTCAGACCTTATTGAGATTTGGTGGGCAGTTAGATCAAGGTGATAAGAAATTAATCCAGGTAAGAATATTTCACATTCACCAATGTAAACAAAATTAAGTACACGAATCATTCCTAATCCTTATTGCAATATTTGTTGGATCTAGGCATGGAAAAATTTGTTGAGGTTAACATAAAATGCGAAACAGAAGACCCTGATGACCCTGAAATAGGTGATGATTCTGACGAAGATGGTGAAGATGAAATCAGAAGCGATGACCAAGTTATTGACACCATCTGTGAAGCTGTCTCATATGAGAAGACAAATTCTGCATCTGACGAATTTCAATGTGAACATTGCAAAAAGGTGTTCCCTCGCCTTCATGCACTAAAGTGTCATGTACATGAGATTCATGGAGAAAATCCTTTCCAGTGCCTGTTGTGTTCAGAACAATGTCCAACCAGAAAGACTTTGACAGCACACAAAAGAACACATCAGATTGATGGAATGTTTCAGTGTGGAGAATGTGGCTACAGGCAGGAGAAGTATATAAACTTTCTTCGCCATTTAAAATTTCATTCTGGCACAAAGGAGTTCACGTGCGAATACTGTGGAAAATCCTTTGCAACTTCGTCTGTATTAAACCGGCATCGGCGCACGCATACTGGTGAGAAGCCTTATTGTTGCACTGTATGTGATGAGCGTTTCTCTACACTCTATGCACTAAAAGTGCATTTAGGGAAGCACACTGGAAAACCCTATTCATGTGAAGAAGAGGACTGTGGTAAATCTTTCCTATCAAAATCTGCTCTGAACAATCATCTCAGGTCACATCTCACTGAGCGACCTTACAAGTGTGTGGCATGTGGGTTAGGCTTTTACATGAGTTCCCACTACAAGGACCACATAAGAAAACACACTGGAGATCGACCGTTCGTGTGTGCTGTTTGCAAAAAAACGTATGCTCGGAAGAGTGAATTAGTCAATCACAGCAGAACGCACACAGGTGAGAAACCTTTCGAATGTTCACAATGCGGCAAAGCCTTTGCTGTCAAGAGTGTGTTAAAACATCACTTAACAACACATTCAAAAGTGAGTGAGACCTTTGAATGTGGAGAGTGTTTTCGGCAGTTCAAGAATAAAGGAGGACTACGGAGGCATGAGCGATGTGCCCATGGACCCGGTAATAGCCAAACAAGTGATGAACAAGAAAGCAAATAATTAAGGATATGTACAGTACCTAGAGGTCTTTACTTTTCAGATGTTTTCTATTTTAGGTTTTGTTTTTCTTGTGTAGTTTTTACACACTCATTAATAAAAACTACAGAATGTAAAACAAACTTAAAAAATGCTGCCTGATTTAAAACAGGTTTTGTAAGTTTTATTTTTGAGTTCTTTATCAGGTTGTTAAACTTCATTGTAATGCACAAATTTATATTTTGTTTTTGTTTTTTTATTATTATTTGCATGTACTCTTCAATATCTGTATTGAGTTTGCGTTAAAAAGCACTTGTTTTATTTCTACTTGTATTGATTTATACACATGTTTGAAATTTGATGTGCAATCAAATAAAATTGTGATACTGTTGCAAGTTCGAAATACTATTGAATTTCCCAGGTCGTTACGAAATTTATCCAATAATTCTTGGTCACTTGTTTATTTGCAAAATTTGTACAAAGTATACTCTACATAAAAATTCTCAACAGCTCATAACATAAAATACTTATCAAAGAAAAACAAACGGCAATGGATACAAATATTTCAATCATGCACCAATAAAAAAAAAACTAGATTTTGCCTTTATGATCTTTACATTGAACTCCAAGTCGGTATAAACCAAACCCTGCCGTCTCTGCTTGAGGGGTATGCCTTCCAATACTGTTTGATAATGAATTGCACGGATGTTATTATGGCGGTGCGGGGTAAAGCAGCAGCTCGCACTGCGGGGCCTGGCTGGTCCTACTGGGCGCACAAGACCTCGTACTCCTTGAACGCCATCTCCTTTCCGCCGTAAGGAACGTAGCACACGCCGTGGGTCTCCTGCACCTGCAATGCGACGTACTTTTTCAGTGGGGGCACTACCGCCAAGGAGCTTTGTGCCCAAACGTGAATTTAGGGGCTATAAGAATTACGGGGATCCAAATATTACGAGGGTGCAAAAGGATCAGGACATTTATTTGAATCCATGCGGATCCCATATGGTATTTGTACCCTGGAGTACAAACATCATGAGGCTCCCATTGAATCCAATGGCCGTCCTGGATCTTGGTTGCAACTGCAACTTGATGGGACCTCGTAACATTTTAACCCCCCCCCCCCCTTAAAGTCACGTAGTTTTTTGGGCACAGCCAATAAAGCTCGAGAACGGAGGGCAGGGGGCGTACCTTGCCGACACACATGACTCCGTTGTGCGTCGCCCTGCCGATGAAGAGCGGCTCGACGCCCTCGGTCTCTCCCGCCGGGAGGGCGCCGGTGGGAACGCGGCCCTCGGTGGCGGGCATCCAGACCGGGTCGCAGTTGCACAGCACCTGGAGGCGCACATTGAGACTTAGATCTGCGGCCTGAAGGTCGCCCATGAACGGACTGCAGGACGTCGTCCTGTCACCGGCTCCTACCTGGTACTCGGTCTTGGCCTGCTCCGCGCCGCCCCACGGGATGTAGCACACCTGGTGCGAGGGCACCACCTTGCCCGGGATGATGTCGCCGGCGTGCCTGGCGCGGCCGACGTACAGCTGCTCGCCGTCGAAGCCCGCCTGGACGGCGTTGGGCGGCACCACGCCGTGCGTGCAGTCGACCCACGTGGCGCAGCCGCCCTTGTTGCCGCCGTCCACGGCCCAGCCGGGCAGCGCGCCCGCGGCCAGCTGTGCGGGGGGCGCGGCTGCGGGCAGGGCAGGGGGTGGGGTCAGTCAGGACAGCTCGCGCAACAACAGCCACAGGTTGAGGTCGGGGCGCTACTCACAGGGCTCGGCAGAGTACTCGGGCCGCTCGGCCGCGCACACCCGCCACTTGCCGCTCGAGCCCCACGCCGTCCGCGCGCCGAAGTGCGAGATGCCGAACGGGTTGGGGTCCTCCCACTCCATGAGGGTCCTGCCCGTCGCGTCGGCTACCCAGACGCGCCCGTTCTTCCACGCGACGCAGAAGCGGCGGTACTCGCCCTGGCTGAGGATGGCCGGCGTGTTAACGCGGACCTGGGAGAGAAAAAAAAAACGTGTGAGGAGAGGTAGACGACGGCAACGTGGTAGCCCACAGCAAATTACGCTGAAGGCAGAGCACGCTGAATCCTGGACTCAATTTTATGGCCTTTCTCTACCCCTACCCCCTAAACAAGGAGTAGTTTGTGTACGACGGGAACGTGCACTCAACTCACCTTATCGGGCTTCTCCCGGCGGTAGCGGATGACGGAGGCCATGTTCTCCCAGCCGCCCAGCAGCACCTCGTACATGGGGTCCGAGTCGCAGGGCCCGCAGGTGAGCGCGAGGTGCGCGTTGTGCGGGCAGCACACCTCCACGTTAAGGCAGCCCTGCTGCACGTGGTGCCAGTTGTACTCCAGCTTGTCCTCCGTGTCCACGCGCTTGCTGCGGTCGCCGTCTGCAACAAGGAGAGGACACGGTCCCCGTGAGGGTCGGCACCCTGGCACGGCCGCCCTGAGGGTGGGCACCCCGGCACGGCCGTCCTGAGGGTGGGCACCCCGGCACGACCGCCCTGAGGGTGGGCATCTCCTCGGCACGGGCCCCGTGAGGGTGGGCACCCCAGCACGGCCGCCCTGAGGGTGGGCACCTCCTCGGCATGGGCCCCGTGAGGGTCGGCACCCTGGCACGGCCGCCCTGAGGGTGGGCACCCCGGCACGGCCGTCCTGAGGGTGGGCACCCCGGCACGGCCGCCCTGAGGGTGGGCATCTCCTCGGCACGGGCCCCGTGAGGATGGCACCACGGCACGGCCGCCGTGAGGGTGGGTACCTCGGCACGGGCCCCGTGAGGGTCGGCATCCCGGCACGGCCGCCGTGCGCGACGGGACTGCCTACTCTCCGACTCGCAGGCGCCTCCCTGGCCCTGGCCGCCCGCCACCGGGTCAGTCAACTTGAGGAGGAAAGCGGAGGAAAGGGATACACGACGGAAGGGACTGCGGGGCGCTGGCAGGCGGCCCGCGGAACCTACAAAAATCATCATCGCTTTCGTTGCGACGACGTCACCTCGGCGGTGTCGCGTCACCACCTGAACCGGGTATGGATCCACCCAGCAGCTCACCTTCGATGTACCAGGTGCCGGTGGCGCCCCAGCCCGTGCAGATGCCGTAGTGCCCGATGCCGAAGGGCTCGGGGTCCTTCCAGTACAGGAAGGGCTCGGCGACGCCCTCCTTGCCCACCGACAGCTCGCCGTGGTTCCAGCGCATCCAGAAGCCGCGCGGCTCCGCGGCGCTCAGAATGCCAGGCGTGTCAACGATGGCCGCATCGGGCTTCTGCTTGTTTTTGCGGATGGCGGACTTGGCGTTTCCCCAGCCACCGATGAAGATCTGAAACAAGGGCACAGCTGAGCGAGGCGGTCAACCGATGTGAACGCCGCCGGCGCAGCAGGCGCTGAGGCAAGCGAGGAGATCCGGTCCGGCAGTAGGGATTTAAACTTTTTCGCCAAAGCATTTCAGGGAAACTTGTCAAGATTTTGTTAATATCTTATTTCTGAAAATTTTCATTCTTTTCCAATAATTGTTCTAGAAATATTTCGACTTTTTACATTTTTTCTGGACAAGTTTCTAATTTTTCGGAAAATTTTCGGACTTTAAAATTCTTTTCCGGGAGGCGGGCTTACCTCGTACTGGGGCTCGGTGTCGTTGGGCCCGGGGGTTAGGGCGATGTGGGCGTCGTTGGCCGCCTGGACCTTGAAGAGGATGGAGCCCGCGGTGACCGGCAGGAACGTGTACTCCATGCGGTCGGGGGTCTCGAACTCTGCGACAGACGACACAACATAGGTTAGCGGGCGGGTGCGAACGTGGTGCGAATTATATGCACCGCCACGACCGGGCACAGGCACTGTCGCCACATTTTAGCTTGTACGAGGAGTGTTTCGTTGAAAGAGACCCCCCCCCCCCCGCCGCTGCTCTTTTTGGCGCGCAGAATTACTGTAACATCCGTGTCTGGGCCGCGACGGGCGCAGGGATTTACGTGGCCCAGTCAATTGAGTTTATAGTTGAGCAGGACGGGCGAGAAGAAGTGAGAAAGACTGCTTATGCCAGATACTGCAGTGCAGCTCAGTATTTAAGTGGGAACACGGCAGCGTCGAGTCCACAGTGAGATGTGGGAGTGGGCGAATCGGGCACTCGCACGCGCCTCCGTGGACCTGCTCCTTGTGGCGAGGAAATTGTTATTGGAAGACGCGCCGGCAATTTATTTCGACGACTGACACGTTTCGGACGCGCACCGCGGCGGCCAGCGCGCAGCACGGTCGGCACGGTGACCGGCGGCGGGCGCGTTTCACGGCCGCTCCACGGCGCCGTATGACGTCATGCTCGAACTCGAACCACTACCACCACCACCAAGGCCTCAGTCAGCAGTCGGGCTTGGCTGTTTCTCTGTTTACCCGCCGAGCCCAGGAGGGCAGCGCGGGTGCGCGACGAAGACGGACGATCAAGGGACGTGGCCGTTGCCGTTCACGTTCGGGCAGATGCCGGCCGGCGGCGGGTGTGCCGCGGCTGCCGACGCGCTAAAATAAGACTCCGTCCGAAACTGCTGTGTTGTGTGGAGGGCCTGACACTCTGCTGTTCGAAAGGAAGAAAAGAGGGGCGTGGCCCGCCGAGGTGGGGCGTGGCGGGGCGGGGCGGGGCGCGGGTGTCACGCTCGCGCGACCGACGACGTCCTGACCTCATCCCGCGCACCATCTGCTTCCCCCACCTGCCACACCCACCCGGGAGCGAGATCAACTCGTTTGGCTTAAAAATTTTCTTGATAATCACTTTATCCTGAGTAGCTTTGCGAGTTGAAATTTTCTCCCCCCATGAGAGAAGGGTGGAAAATGAGGGGGGGGGGCGAAAGTCGCAACGCTTCTTGTGGTTTGCTTAATGCGACCGAGCTGTCACGACTGGACCGCACTCATACTCATATCGACATCGACGGGCCACAAAAGAGGTCGACTGCCGTTGAAGGGCAGATTTTAATCCGTTAGTCATCGGAACTCGGTCAGTGGGATAAGCTTGGATGTTTATCATATCTCTGAAAAACACTATCAACATTTCCTTGTAAAATGTAAACAGGACCGCGGGGCCTCCGCCTCCCGCGCGCGCGCTGCGGTCACCTTCTTCCGCTTCCGACACGAACAACGCCCACCCGAGCACCAGTAAGCACCAGGTGCCGGCGGCGGCGGGGGTGTGGCCAGGCCTCGCGTCAGGCCCGGCGCCGCCGGGGAAGGCCATCTCGCGGGCTCCAGGCGCTCCAGGATACGTCACCCTGCCGCAACGCCTTACGATATCAAATTTAACTCAAAAACTGGGAACCTCCGCCCATTAAAACCCCTCGAGGCGTGTTTGGGGAGTTATTATTAAGCGTGTGCTGCACTGACATGGTTGTACCGGGTGGCCCGGCTCTTACATGCCAGTATGGTGGGTTGCATAAGCAACGGCCAGCAGGGGCTGTCGGGAGCTAGCAGGATTTCGCGCAGCCTCCCTGTGGAACCGCGGGGGATGCGCGAAATCCTGCGCGTTCCCGACAGCGCCTGCGAGCCAGCGCGTATGCAACCCGCCATACTGGCATGTAAGAGCCGGGACACCCGGTACCTCCGGACTTTCCCGGTGCAACACCTATATGGCCACCCGTCAAGCAGTTCAGTGTCGTTCAGCCCATCGAGTCCAACTCACCGTGCTGGTGCTGCGCCATGTTGAGAGAGCTGAAGTGTCGTGCGACGACGAGTGGATCAGCTAGACTGCGCCGGGTGGGCCGGGCGGGGCGCCGAGAGAGCACGGCACAGCGCCGCGTCCGCGCCGGAGGGCGTTCGAACCGTGCTTCGGACCGCTCAGGAGGCCCCTCACATCTGCGAGCAAACACACATTCCGAGAGACCCTCCTCAACGTTTCTGACGCAGCCTGGGAAAGGGAAGGGGGAAGGCAGATGAGGGGCGGGAGGGGCAGGGGGGTATCGCGGTTCGCGGCGAGCGCAGGGGGGCGGATGGACACAGTAGTGACTCACGGACTCAGCACAGCTCTGCGAGGAGGAAAATACGGAGGGGGATATTGCGCAACATACAAGTTCCGACGCCTTCAAAATAATGCGAGATCTGAAAATACGCATCTTAACATATTAAAGGAGAAAGAGCGAGCAAGGCTTCGCTGTGGTTCGGAGCATCACATTTTGGGGGCAAAGGTAAACGGATCAACAGACCTTTCAAACGAATATGACCGTGACGTCGTCTGCTGATCGGTCGGTAACACAAACTTTCAAGCCTGCAGCTGGACCTAGACTTTAAGTTGTGTGGTCGATGTAAAAAAAAAAAAAGGTCAGTTTTGGTGACGTCAACTTAAGAGTTTAGAATTAATCGGAATCAATGCGTGAACAAAGTACACGAAAAACACGTTATTTGCAGTCAAAACTGTGTTGCCAATAACGAATTTTCTAGATGCTGTTGTTTCTTAGGGAAAGTAAAATGGCGACGCAAACTAAGGTGAGTTAGTTGTGCACATATTTCGGGTCGTTTATTATGGTTACCGAGCTTTTTCGTTTCTTCTGAAGCGAATTTCGTTCCTTATTACGTTTACCTTTCTTCTGAACGTATTCTTCACCTCGAGCTCTCTAGAGTAACATGGTGCCACTGTAGAAAAAGAGCAGTTGATTCCGATTTCAGCCAGGGTATTGGAAAAGGTTTGAAAAATGCTTTGTATTAATAGATTGAGACTCTAAACTGCCAAAGCAATAAGTACCATTCTAAATGATTTTAATTATTTTACGAACTCATCCATTATCAGTTTATTTGATTGGCGTTTGTGTTCTCTGCGTCTCTTTGCATGGAATGCCCTTGTGAAGTTTGGTTATGGACCGTTAGTACGACCTACGGTCATGACCAGCAGTAACTACCTTTCTCCACCTCTTATGTGTATACGAATGCAATTTTCTTTTATCAATGCGAACACAGTCTATAATTTAACTGCTGTACGCACGCCTAGTCCATTTTCTTTTCTAATTGCAATTTTACAAGTTTTGGTTTTTTGTTGTTTCTAGATGACATTTCCAACGGACGATGATGATGACCTGGACGTGGATGCTCTACGGCTTGCAGCCCTTCAATCACTTAAAAAGACAGTGGCTCCACCTGCTCAGAACTCAAGTTCATTATCTACAGTCCACAATGTCGCCTCAGGTCCTCGTGTCATGTCAAAATTAGGACCTAACCAGCACCCAAACAGAGGCCGTGGTAGAGGGGTCCCAAATAGGCGAGGGGGAAGGGGAAGAGGAGGTTTCCAAAATTTTGGAAACAATCAGGTGAGAAATATTTCCTGTCCTTACTTTTACTGTTATGCTTTAACTTTCTCTGTAATTTTAGTACAAGTTTGTTTATGATCTTTTGTTCCAGAACTTTTTTCCAAGACCATCAGGAAATAGCAATCTCATCACTATAGTTCCAACTGTTCCTGATGATCCTGACACAGCCATGGAATCTCAGCAATCAGGTATGTAGTATTTTATGGTTCAAACTTTCGTTTTCTTTTCAACCAAAAGATTCTTATAGAGTTCTTCTGTATTTGCAGGACTTCGTTCAATGCCTTGCTCAACCAATAAGGCTGCTGTTAATTCTTCATCTAATGCAGAAGAAAAAGGTAAATTTTGTTACATCAATCTCTTGTTGTTTACGTAGAGAATTCTTTTGAAAGGCTGTATCTAATTAATTTTCTTTATTTTTAGTTCCCTCCAAATTTAGTAGACTTGACGACAATTCAGATTCTGAAGAATCAGATGACGATCCTCACATCAATGCAGAATCTGATGCTGATTCAAGTGGAGAAGATGAGGATGATAAGGAAAGTGGTGTCAAGGGTGCTGCCAGTGATTCAGAATCTGAAAAGGATCCTGATTTTGTATCGCTACAACATGAAGAGGATGAAGAGGTTTGTATTCTCTGCTTAGAAATTCCTTCAAGCCTTATTTCTCATTTATGAGTACTAATTTGGGTTGTGCTTTTGCAGGATGATAACAGTTTGGAAAAATTGATGCGGGAACTGGAAGATGAAATTAGTGAAACCCCTAAAGACGCTAAAAAGCCTGTAGTATCTGTGAAAGACAAACCAAAAACCGATAAATTATCCAGGGTTAAAAAGACTAAAAAGGTTAAGCCAAAGAAGATCAAGAATCAGGAAGCCATTTTTACAGATGATCATTTGAGCACTGTGTCATCTACGGATGTACCTGATGGTCCTGGTAACTCAAGAACTGACAAACAATTGAGTCTTGATTCCCAGAAAAATATGTCAACGTCTCCAACCAATAGAGAATCCTTAAGGAGGGTTGTATCCCCACGGGTAACTTCACCATCAAACCAAAGACTGCCTCCACTGTCATCAGTCTCTCAACGAGCTGTATCTCCCCTGGCAGCCAGATCTCCAGTTAAGTCAAGATCTCCTCTCAGAGTGAGATCACCCCGGAGATCAAGATCACCGACTCTTGTCAAGTCTAGATCACCACAGAGGCTGAGATCGCCACTTAGATCAAGATCACCAAGGAGATCCAGGTCTCCCCTCTTGTCTAGGTCTCCTAGGAGATCGCCTCCCAGAAGTCATTATCCTGCACGCTCTCCTAACTATGCACCCCGGTCTCGCTCTCGCTCTCCTTACAGATCTCCACGCAGGTCTCCTCATTATCTGGCCAGGCCTCACTCTCCTGGAAGACTGCCTCCAATTCGCAGTCGTTCAAGGTCTCCCAGGTACCGATCGAGGTCTCCTGTACGAGCCAGATCAAGAACTCCTCTTGGTGCCCTGCGTCGTTCTCACACTCCTAGTCGTCGCCAGTCTCCATTTAGACGTTCGCGATCGCCTGGAGGTCGACTGTACTCATCGAGGCGCTCCCGATCTATTTCTCCTCGTGTCCCACTTGGCTCGAGACGATCTCCATCCCCTCGGAGGAGGTCTCCCTTGTACCTGAAGAAACTGTCTCCCAAACGTCGCTCTATTTCGCCTCGAAGAAGGTCACTTTCGCCGAGAAGACGATCAGTCTCTCCTAAGAGACGGCCCCTTTCTCCAGGATGGAGTCGGCAGTCCCCACCAAGAAATAGGAGTCCAGTGGGATCATTCAACCAAAGGCCACTTTCTCCTCGTCGCAGATCACCTTATGGTGATACATACTCATCTAGGAGGTCGCCTAGTCCAGTACTCCGGAAGTACACACCTCCTGTTTCACACAGAGCAGGGTCACCAGTAAGGAATTACCGATCACCCTCACCTATGTCTCGTCCTGGGACAAGAAGAAGGTCTCCTGCTCCAGTTACAGCACCACTCAGACGTTCTTCTCCTCAGCACAGAGCACCATCACCAGTTCACAGGCATTCCTCTCACACACGTGGTGTTGGATCTCCTAGTCGTATAAGAGACAAACCAAGGCAGATATCGCCTCCTCCTGCAGTGTCAAGAAACAATCAGCGTATTCCATCTCCAAAGAGACAACGTTCTCCTGTGTCACATGTGCGTGGTCACCATAGTAAAATGAGTCCTGTTCGGAAAGTGTCTCCCAAGAGATCTCGTTCACCTCCAAAGGAAACTGTTGTTCTTTCTACTGTTAGAGGTGCAAGTCCAATTGACAGTATCAGTCTTAGTCCTTCTCCAGAGCGCCAGCCTGTTACCAAACTTGAAGACAGGAGTAGAGCCAGGAAATCACATCCTTTGTCGGAAGGCCTGGGAGATACCAAGAGGTCACGCTCTGATTTAAGAAATGTTTTGCCACGTAGGAAAGATGTGCCCAAAGATACTGATGCAAGTTCTTCAACTCGTGATGAGGAATCAAAGAAGGAACGCAAAGAACGCAGAAGAGCCAAACGAGAGCGAGAAAAGCAAAAGAGAGAATCTCAAGGTGCCAATCATGTTCTTGAGGCCAGAAGACGAAAATTCGAATCAAGCCAGCCTGTGGAAGTTTCTGGTGGCAAAAAGATTCGTCTTCGGAACATGGTATCTGAGCCAACAGATCTTGAAGAGGAGGAGGAAGTCAAGGATGCAGAACTGAACATTGAGAAAGAAAAGGAAAGAGAGCTAAAAGAAGTTAATGATGTAGATGAGAGTATTCTAGATCGTGAACTCATGGGTGGAGTTGATCTGTTGTGGTCGGATGAGGAAGAAATGGATGAGGAAGAGGAATCAAATGTTAAACCTGCCCCTACCTCTAGCAATGTTCAGTTTAAGCGTACTTTCAATTTATCTTCATCTGGAACTGGCAAAGAAAATATACCTGATGATAGTAATGGTGAGTATTGAATCTTAATCATAAAGTATACCTTTATTAATCATACATTACTACATTACTATTAATTGAACTCTTACAGATTCTAAAAAAGATGAGGATGAGGAACCTACAAGCACCACTGGTTCACCTATTGGCCACCAGATCAGAGAAGATTCAGATCAAGGAGAATGTGATGAAGCTGATAGTGATTTTAGTGGGGACAATGAGCACAGAGAGGAAAGAGATGGTCGGGAATCTTATCCTAAGACAAATAGAGAGCTTAAAGAATACATCTTAAGCCAAGCCAAAGGTTCTGCTGCTCCTGTCCGTCTTCTTAAAATGACTGTTAAAGAAGTACCCAACAAATGCAAATCTAATGAGTCGGATGATCTGAGAGCTGAGCTCAGTCGTAGACGTGCAGAAAGGCAAACCAAGGATACCAAGGTAAATGTTGTTATCTGTCTAGCTTTACAGTGGTCCTGTATGTAACCCTCCTAGAAGTTTATTAATTTTCTTATGTTTTTGAAGCTATGTGCTATGTATTTAGAAAACAATTTTATTAACTGTTTTTATTTTATCTTGAAGGTGTCGAGTTGTTCTGAGGCCTTGCCAGGAAGACTCTTACAGTCTGCTCTTCAAGGAGCTGGAGTGTGAGTAGTGCAATGACAAATTAGAAATGTGGAACATTGCATCCCATGGGACGCTTGGACACTACTGATGGCTGTCTGAGTATTAGTATTAATAGTATCTTTCTCTGTTTAGGAAATCACGCAGGGACAAAGTTCATCGGAGGAGGACACCAACATCATTTGAAGATGAGTATGGTAAGTTAAAGTGATCTTTTCTACTATTTATTCTGGTAGTTTCTCTAATCTCATATGGGTTGCTTTCTTTGGTGTTCCTGTCCTATTTTGTCTGTTTCTGATCTAACCCAACGTATACCGCTTTTCTAAAATACTATAGGGCCCCAACTATTGGATTATTTTTATTTGCGCTCATCATAATTTTTTCTTCAAAACATCTGTATCTTACTATTTTGCTTTCTGTTCCGGAATTATAAGGAATCAATCAATTAAATTATGTTGAAACGCATGTTTTAAATATTCTTGTTTTGTGTTTCAAAAAGACTCTGTTTATTCATTGATATTTGTCATATTGTGGATTCTGCTAAGATGTGGTTTGGATAACTACATGTGCATGGTGCTGCCTTTTTGCAGACAAACAAGAGAGTGAAGGGCGTCGGGTGCTGGTTTTAAGAAGGGCAACAGAGCAGAAGGAGCCTGCTATCAACATCACCATATCCAAAGGTGTGCAGTGTCACCTTCATTGTGTGCTCTATCCTTTCCCCATTTCTTTGATTTCATATGCACTTCATTTTTAAGGAAAAGTTCTACTTCCTTTCTGCTGTAAAATTATCTGTTCAATTTATGAAAAGCTAACTGCAATAGTTAATCTATCTGTCTCTTTTTATCTGTGCTTGTTCCCAATTGATCATTAATCTATGCTTTTTGCTTGGATATTTTTGCAAACAAAATTGTTTTACATTTATTTTTTCTTTGTATTTTGTTTATATTTTAACAATTGTTCTTACCTATATTTTAATTTTTCCGTCCCAGTGGAATCAACTAAAGAAAGCAGCTCAGTGAAGATTGGTGGCAAACTTCCAATTCATTTAAGGCTTGGAACAGGCAAGAAAGGAGATGACAGTCCGAAAAAGGTGAAACTTAAACGCAACATCACTGTTGGGAGGAAAAATCAGGTATTGTGTGTTTCTAACATAATATTATGCTTACTGAGGTTTATGGTGCTGTTGCATGCTTTTGGATTAGAACAGCCCATTTCATGTGGTAAGTCTAGGTTAATCTATGGGCTCACTGACCACCAAGCTTACTTCATACAGAGCTATTCAGTATCTACCAGTTTCTTTTTGTCAGGATAGATTGCTATCCTAAATCAAACAGAACTTCTTTTTTGTCACTGTTGTTTGCTTTGCACTTTACTTTCAGACAATTAGCTAGACAGCTGATTAGCATCTAAATTTTTGATAAAGACTGTTGAGTATTTAGATCTATCACAGAACCAGAAATGTTGTGAACTAAAAGACTGAGTGTTGGTCAGCTTTTGCTTACATAAGCAAGGGATTCACTTCTTTCATTTTGATTTCTGTGTCAGAATTTGTCTAAACCTAGCAATCAGACTTCAGGCTTGTATCTTTGGGGTCCAAAAAGTTCTCTTTCCTAGTACAAAGAAGCTACTGTACTTCTCTGAAGTTGTAGTACCTACATGAAACAAATGAGTAGCCCATAAAGAAAAGAACTTGTTTTCTTTATCTAATTATTTCCTAGTATTGTAGTATTTTGTGTTTATTCCTTGAATTAATTTCACAGTTTAGAGTTGAAGCTCTTAACCAAGTTTAATGGCTGTTATTTATTTCCACATTTTCTTGCCTTATTTTTTTGTCTGGCTGTTTCTGAGCAGTCACATTTTCTGTACTTCCTTTTTTTACTTTCTTAATGTTTTTGCTCTGTGATATACTGGATTCTATTTCAGCAGGATTTTGAAACCAGAGTTGTGATTGCATGTATTCTATTATTGCAGAACTGAATTATGTTTTTGACAACCTTACTAGAAATGTATGCAAGGGTCTAAAACCTATTTCATATATCTTATCTTTGATATCTACACAAAGCAATTTGTTGTGCTTTTCTCAAAACAATGAATGTGTTTGTCTGTGTGTGTGTGCAAACCTCAGGGTTGCTGCAAACAAAAAATATTCAGATAGATGTACCGTACAAAAGCAAGGAAAGGAGGAAATTTGGGATTTGTTTAGGTCTGAATGTCCTTTACAGGTTAGGTCATTTACAGTACTTCCATCTTCAATGCTCATGACAAATACTATAAAGCTATGTTTTCCATCAGGTCTTAGGATAGGATTGTGTTTTTTTTTACAGAAATTTGTAAGTTCATGTTCATGGCATTTGAAGCAATAATTTTGTGGCAACCCTGATGTGTCGAATCAATATTTTCTGCAGGTCATGTTATGAGCACCTAAAATTGGTAATTGATATCTAAATTTTAAATTTTGAAGTGTGAATTTTTAGACAGTTTTACTAAAGTTAGAGACCATGTTATGTAGTGCCAAACATATTTGTTAATTGGTGCCTTACTTTCTCAGAGTGCATTTGTTAAACTTCAACTTCTGATAGATTGATCTTTCTCCTTAATCTTAAAGATAAATATGTGATAAAGATTAGAATTGAAAAAACAAAGAAATTCTTACATATTTGCTTAAAGTTTTAGTTAACTAAAGATCTGTTTCTTTTGGAGCCTTAATTTTCTCTGGCTCTCTATATTCATCTTGTTTTTCTATCTCAAAGTTAGAGGCTGGCTATATATTTCTTACAAAGTATGTGTTGACCAGGATATAACTACACAAGGTTTTTCTTAGGTTGTAATTGAAATGTGGCATTGTTATTTATGTTTTGCATTCATACCATACGATACGAGTATGGTTCATTGAATGCAGCTTGCCTTTTTTTGTAATTGCTAAGCTCAAGTGGTAATTTTATCACTAAGTTTGTGCCTAATGACTAAAAAAAGGTGATATGGAAATTGCAAATGTACAGTTTTGATATAACATTTTTATCAACATGTTGCCCTGTATGTTCTAATGTATTTGTGTGCAACACTCATAGTAGTTTTTTGTCAGGCTATGAAATTTCCTTTATCTCTAAATTGTTACTATGGACTAGCTTGATCTGGTCTCAACATACTCTTGCACAATCTACTTATTCTTTAATTCTTTCTTTCTGAAGGGAAATTGCGCAATAGCACATGAGATAGGTCTCATGGAAATCCTCATTGTTCGTAGTTCTTTTGGTGTGAGGTATTGCAGCAAAACTAACTTGCTGTAAAGTTTGTCTTGCATAGCAACCTCACCAAAAGTCATTATGTATCAATCTATTTATCTTGTCTGCTTTTCAAAAAGAACATATCTTTGTGACTAATTTTCTGGATTGATCAGCAACCGTATTTAAAGCAACCCTCAACTCTTAGTTCAGCTTTGTAGATTGTCTGCCACACTTAGAAATACTACTATTTAAACCTATTAATCCCTGGTGTAGCAGTAAATAAACTAATCTAAAATTTCCAGGTCTTTTGTATGCAGTGTTTGTAGATTTGTAAATATGTATGTCTGTATCAAGTGGAGTTTTGTGCCACCACACTTGCAAATAAGTTTGAGCTCCCTTTTTTTTTCTTTTCTCCCCTCACTGTGATAACTGTATGAGTGAAAATGCATGTGTCGAATGTTTTGTCTCCTTTCATTGAGAGGTCATTTGATTCACTACCATGATATTTGTTTAACTGTATTGTGGGCATTCCTTTGTGGTAGTCCTGGTCAACTCATTTATCAATCAATGTTTTAAAAAAGAACATGGCATTGCCAGCCAATATCTTACATATAATGATACTCTAGTAAAAGTTTTATTGAACCTGCACTCTTTTTAAATTTGAGGTTTTGTGCTGAATTTGTCAGCTTTTGACTGTTTGTGCTAAACGATGGGATTATTTGAACTACCAGTAATTTTCTGGGATCGTCTACTTAGTTTTATTTTGTTTTGTTTCTTTTGTTATTTTTTTCTTCCAATCTTGAGACAAGTAATAGAGCAAAGGGCCAAGAGTTCAAATTAAAAGGGTTACAGTCCCATTTACTTATTTTTTACTTGTTTGCTGTGATATTTTGTGGACTGATTTTAAAAAAAGAACTGATTCTTATTTTTAAACTAATCTAACGGTTGATATTAACTACACTTCATGGAAAATATGGGGGACTTTTGTGCTAAGTTTACTTTGGAACAACAACTATATTCTTCTAGTTGCCATAACTACTCTCTTAGAAGTGCCATTTTTTGGCTCTTCTCTGTCAAGTCAGTATTGTCTTAGAATTAGTACATGTTTAATATTTATCTTTTCAGAACTTGTGATTCCAATCGTACCTGCTGTGATACTGGGTTAAATTTGTATTATTATGGCTGTGTGCACATTTTTAATTGTTTCTTCTTTTGAGAGAGCCTACTTCCCATTCTGTTTTGCATTGTGATTTGGAAACAAGCCAAAATACTATTGTGAGAGATTGCTTGTTTACATTTCCTTTGAAGAAGACTCAAGAATAATACATCTGGAGCATAGCATTTTACTTTGTTTTTACCCAGCGTTATATAAAGTAGGGACATGACTGTATCAAGTACAACTTTCTCCATATTGAATTTATCCTCTTTCATATGATTTTTGTACCAGAATTGTTATGTTATTGCTTCAGGTGTTTATTTCTTGAATCACAAAGTTGGGAGTGGCTTTAATTTAAAAAAAAAAAGGAAGAAAAAGGAAAAAAAGAAAAAAAAAGATGGTGATGAAAAAGGGGGGCAAGGAAAAAAAAGAAAGTGAAAACAAAAGTGATACTATTGTGCACACACTAAAGCCATCTAATTAACATTTGTAATTTTTTGTGAATTAATTAGTTGTTTCTTCTGTGAATGGCATTGTTCAGGTGTAACCTGATGACCGCTCCCACCTGTCTTAATGCAAAGAAGAAACATGCAATGAGTGATATCTTCTGTGTGACTACAAGCAAACTTCTTAAAGACTGGTCTAGCATAGAAGTTTGCTCATTCAAGTCCTTGGAAAGGAGTCATCAACGGAAGCCTAAAAGTGCTGATGGAAAGAAAGACTATGAATTATTTTGCTGTGTTCTTTATTTTTCTATGATTGTGATTTTATTTTGGTGTTCTGACTTTAAAAATTGTTTAAAAGTACTAGAATTGTTATTCCCCTGATATTTTTCAAATGCTCGGTTTTTGATTAGGTTTGAAGTGTTAATGGTTATCAAATAAAAGTATTGTCCCTGAACTGGATTAATATCATATAATGTTTGCTGTGTAATATTTCCTGATTTTACTTAAAAATGGAGCAATCCTAGTCGTTATTAATTTAGAGTACCCTATTTTCCATTCATCCCTCTTAACTAGCATTCACTTTTTTAATGTGAGTGTTTCCTATCCATTTCATTTGTTTAGCTGTGTTACATATTTGTTGTACAGTTAATTTTATTGATCTCGTTACCCATAAAACTTTCATCATTAATTATCAAAGGAAGTCCTGAAAATAATATTGCATGTAACCTGTTACATCGTTTTGAAATTATGTATTATGTTCATGTTAGGATATTACAGGGTGTAAAAAATATGTACATTTGTAGAATGTAAAAATTATACTTTTCTATTGAAATGAGTCTGTTGTAATCACTTACAACCTACAATACCCTTCTATGACCGTGTGAGCGATCCTTCAATTTCATTTAGGAACTGTGTGCCAGCGTAATTTATAGAGAGAGGTCGATTTTCTTTGGACTTGTTGGTATCGTTGACGGCCGTTTCCCTTTTAGCTTCCGCTTTTGAACCTGGCGAATGTGCACTCTCTTCATCTCCAGAATTTCTTTCATTTCCTCCTTATCTTCTTCCTGTAACATTCGAAAAGAGAAGTACAGCTAATTAGAGATGGGACGTATGGGACTGTTCCCTAACAATCCGGACGTGAGCGTCTCTCACCGTTTGGTTGAGGCGCAGGACGAGGGCGCGTCGGCCGTCGGACATGGGCTGCGAGTACCACATGAGCTTGCGCAGCCGCTCGGCCGGGTTGACGCCTCGCTCCACCACGAGCACGATGCGAGCCCACTGGCGCTGCCACTCGTTGCGCGTCTCGGCAATCTTCTGGTACGTGTTGCCCATCATGGCGATGAGCATGTTGACGAGCAGGATGGCCACGATGGCCATGAACACCACAAACAAAATCTGGAAGCCGGAGAGGGTGCATTTTTTTTTCAATAAAAATGTTTTTCATTCAAAGGGGAAATGATTTTTGAACATGCTCGTTTTTGAGTCGTTCAACTGACTTTAGCTTCTATCTCGTGCTCGGTGCGCTCGAAAGCTCCGTAGTAGTCGCCGAAGTTTGTGAGAGACATCAGGAACATGGCCATGACGGACTCTGATGGGGACGGCATGGGGTTGGAGACGGTGTCGTCGACGCCGTCGGGCGTAAGCGGGTTGTCAAAGGTGAGAAAGATGATGTAGTACGCCTGGGAGAAGCCCATGACAAAGACGAGGTAGATAGTCACGAACCGAAGCAGATCTCCCATGACCATGCGGTAGATCATGACGACGAAGGGGCCGACTGTTTTGAATCCCCTGCAATGCAAGGTAAAAAGAAACGGATATGGACTTTTAGCTGAGGGGAATGCGATGACCAGGGTTGATCCAAGGTGTACTTCAGTTAAAAATCCAAAGAAATAAAAAATCAGTGTACATCCTCATAGAAAATATTTAAAAAATCAATTTTTAGAGAGCATAAAAATTTAAGGAAAATCAGGGAAAACGGAAAATCGCGGTATGTTTGAATCTCTAGTGAGCTACCCAAGCGAGTCACCTGCAGAAGAAGAGGAAGTAGGGCGAGGTGGTGAGCATGATGATGACGGCCACGATGTCCTCCTTCTCCTCCTCGCAGGCGATCCGCAGCCAGGGCATGCTCAGCATGCACAGGCACGAGAACAGGAACATGACGCGAGACGGGGCCGTCATCTGGAAAACAAGAAGGCTGGCCGTGTACTGCGGGGAAGCCCGAAGGGCAGAGGGAAGCCCCCAGATGAAGCAGCGACTTTTATCGATTCAGCGTAGAATCGCTGAGCCGAAATTCGGACATCGATGTCATAAATCGATATTAGATATCTGGCTGAGAGACGTTATTATTCACAAGAGGGGCTGATGATGCAGGGGGCCCCACTCTTTTTCGATGCTTTATGCTACTGGACCGCATTCACCCGTGTGGGCGGTTTGCCTATACTCGCCAGGCGCCGCCACGGTGAGCGACGGTAAGCAAGCCCGCCGGCACGCGGTGGTACGTACGGCATAAGAAAATTAAAGTGCGGGGTCTGTGTAACAGGACACCCTGTACACGCACCAGGTTTTCTATGAACATGTGCAGGCCGAGGAAGCGCGCCTCGCGCAGCGCCGCCGTGATGTAGAGCACGGCCCCGAAGGTGAGGAGCACCTCGGCCGCGATGCGCACGGCCGCGGAGCGGGTGTTGATCTGCATGAGGCGGCAGGTGCTCGACGTCTCGTCCCACCACTCGCCGTCGTCATCGTCGTCGTCGTCGTCCTCATCGGCGGCCTCGGCGCGCGCGAGCGGCTGCGCGAAAGGGCGGAATGTGAATTGGATTCGAGATGCTTATAGGCAGGCGTTTGGGAGGACCATGGTCCGCTCACCCCGGGGGGAGGCGCCGCCCTTCCCCGAGTCCTCTGGGTGACGAAGTCGACGCTCATGTCGACGGTGGTGTCGTTGTCCGATCCCCGTGGCCTCGCCTCCCCGCTGGACGTCGTCGACTCCCAGCTGCCGGAGTCGGCCGTGGAGTTGTAGTCTGGCGTCGCGTTCGAGGCTAGCAGGCTCTCCATCCGCCCCATGGCCTCCAGCCGCGCCGCGCCGGCGGAGAGCGGGACCGTCGTGACGGCCGGAGTGCCTAGGGGAGGCCAATGAGCACTAGATGAGCGCCAAGCGGCACTCGGCGGCATTTCAAGCGTACACCAATTTTTCTGGATTTTTTCTAATTTTTTGAATGATTTTTTATTGTTTTTTATTGTCCCCTTAATTTCTTAATATA